TTTTACTTGAGTAGATTTTTAGACCGGTAATTTTACTTGTACTTAAGTAAAATTTCATTGAAGTAGTAGTACTTTTACTTGAGTAGAATATTTTATTACTCTTTCCACCTCGACCGCTCATTACAAGGAGGCTCCTATTGACTGCTAGCTAGCATCTGCTCTGGGTAGGTAACACCAAACAATATTTTTAAAACTGACACTGAGTGTTAACGCATTATATTACAATTGTTAATGACACAACATTGTATAGGCTACAAAAACTATCCGCTAACAGTAGCAAAAAAACGTTTAGTTGTGTACAATGCTTACCATTCACGACTCTTGCGTTGCTCTCCGACATTTTGAAAAGGTCAAAGGTTATCTCATCTCGGCAACCCGTGCATCAAAACATTCTACGAGCTGCCCAGTGGAAAATACCACATGAGGGGGTGTTCATGTGCATTTTCCACGTCGGCTTTTGGTATTTACCATAATTACCACAGCACGTGAAGGCACCATCATAGCATGGATATCCTTGCAGAATCAAGATCACACCCAAGATCACAGGTAAGATGAGGTTTGAAATTCCTCCTTCTCTATTACTTTTACACAGGATAAGAAAGTTTAATAATTCATTTGATAATGTAACAAATGATTTTGACTAAAACTGCTTAAACTACTTTTTGGTGTTTATATCCATTCAGGTGAAACTGAAAGAATAGGCTTGTGGCGAGCAGGACGGGGCAGAGGGCCGTGAGAGAGCGGCGCGAGGCCGGTGGTGTGATTACTGATGAGCGACACCTGCGCAACGCACCGGTCTCGTATCTCTCACGGAGGAGCGGAAGCATAAAATTTGGAGCGACGACAGTGAAGAGCGAGAGAGGAACAGGCCTGGACTTATGATGTGTTTTGTTTTATTATGACAGCAGTCATCCGTGAGGGGCTGCTGTCTTTACTTTCGTTTTGTATTTGTTTATTTTATTATTAAAGTCTGTGAATGTTCGTCGGTTGTCACCTCCTTCTTTCCATTATAACGAACTGAGTTACAAGGCTCTACTGGTTCTGTCGCTTCTGTCTGTAGTGGCGGTCAATGCCGGGCCCTCCAAGCTGGAGGATGTCATGAAATATTTTCTAAAAGTTTGGTAGTCAAAATAGCTCTATGCACGTTGGTCACCACACATTTGATTTTGGTTTTCAAGTATTAATATCTGAAAAATTATATATATTTATTTTATGTCCATCAGATAGACTTGATAAATCTGGACAAAAAAAATACACTGACCCAAATCCAACCAAAATGCCCTTTATTTAACCCTCTGGGGTTCCTCATTTTAGACTCACACTCAGGACCTTCGGGTCAAAAATTACCCGGAGGGCGCCATTAAGATACATTTTATTTGAGGAAAATCAATGAAATATATTTTTGTTCAATAATATTTTTTCTTTTCTTTTTTGGTGTTTTGAGATAATTTTATAATTTATAATTAATATTTATGCAATAATTAAGACCCATTTTTTCCCATTGAATATAATAGAAAATTTATATATATAATTAAAAAATGATTAATAAATAATTAAAATAAAGCTGTATTTCATTTTAGAGTCAAGTCTAGACCTCATGAAAGCAATTTTTGAAATGAGATCGGAGCCATCTGGTGGACACACTGAGCATTTTTATCACGCAATAGCACATTTTTACCACTAGTGGATTTACAGCTCTCTGTAGAAACCTATGGTAGAAACACTCTAGTGATTTTTTCACATATTGTTTAATTTTTTCAGGTTTTTGATTTGAATATAAAATAACAGATTCTCAAAGACTATATTTGTCATTTTTTTTTATTTAAAAAAAAAAAAAAAAAATTGGCTGGTTTAAATGGTAATTTTAGGCAGTTTTACTTTATAATACAGTCAAACCTGAACATTGCATTATAAAGAGAACAAATGGAAAAAAAATTGTCACCCATTGTTTTAAGAGATTCACCCCTTCACTGTTGTGTGCTTTTTTTCTGCATCCTGGCTGTTTTGTAGATTGTATGCACAAAAAAACTCTGTATTTTCACATTTTTGCCAATTTCCCATTCATTTCCTATGGGGGTCATTTTTGACCCGAAGACCCTGAGTGTGACTATTTTTTTTAGGACCACTTAGACTTTTAAAATCTTTTCCCCAATTTTTTTGGGTGTTCATATACCAAGTACCAAAAAAGTCACCAAGTTTTGGACCATTCCGATGAAGCTACGATTTTTAACATTTTTTTATTTAAACGCTTCGGGTCATTTTTGACCCGAAGAACCTAATAAATAAATAAATTAGAATCAAATAAAAGTTTTTACCTAAGAAAATGTGTTTCCTCCAAAACATGTCTTTGTGATGTCTTGATTCCCAGTGGCTGCAAAGATTATTTAAAATGTTGGGTTGTTTCAACCCAAAAAATCCAGCTATAAAAAATATCCATATTAAACAACCCAGCATTTTTTTAAGTTGCAGAGTTTACATGTCTACTTTACTGTGTAAAGAATTATGAAAATAATGTATTATGAAACTAAACCAGTATATCCATCTGTCTAAAAGACGTCTTGGTTCATACTGCAGGTCTATGTACTAATAACGGTATGTCCTGTAGGAGGCAGAGGTCACAGCTCTTCTGTATTTGGCATGTATTGTCACTGGGGTTACACTTTGTGTTTATTTATCAGATGTCTGTTTATTTATCTGTTTAATTTCAATGGAGAGTTCCCTTATCCTTTAGCATAATTCGGACTTCACAAACAGAGTTGTTTTGGGGTTAAACCCCACGTTATCCCTTTGCCCCACTGTGACTCTATAATACAGAGCACAAACAGGCTGGGCAGAAATCCCTCTTAAAAAGCTTACTCCACATGGATTCTTAAATTAGTGGTTTACATGTCTTAATACTCTGCTATCTCAAAGTCTAAGCACTTTATTCGTGATTCTCTCTTTTTGGCTGATATGAGTCCACAGCAACGTTTTCTTCTAATCATGCATCTCAGCAAACACTCAATAACCAACAAGAACATCTGATGTCTGAATTATGTTGTGTGTTGAGTGTTACGTTTGTTTTTCAAGCACACCAAACTATGATTCATTGCAGTCCACACTGCAAATCATCTGACTCAGTTTTGAGTAGATAAAAAAAAAAAAAAAAACATGCACCTTTTTCCAAACAGTAATTCAGTGACATTTCACACAGTAAAATCACTCATTCTTAAGGTGAATGTATTGGGGGTTTTTTTGTTTTGTTTTTGCCATATTGGTTTGTAGTTATTTGGATTTTTGATTTAAAACAATGTAAAAATTTAAGTTCATCCAAAAAGATTGTGATAATTTGTGATCTAATCATGTAAAAGAAAACATCTTTGTCTTTTAAAAGTGTAAAACTGCTGCTAATAGATCTATGGTTTGTTCAGAATTGTATTGTAGATATTGTTTGTAGAAGAGTGTTTAGTCAAACCTGTGTGAATGACTTGTACAAAATATATATTTTTTAAATTATCATTAATAAGACTTAATTTGTCTTTTTTTTGTGTGTGAAAAAAATCAGATTTTTGTGTTGAATTTAGAGTCAAAAATGTTTTTATAAATAATGTTACACAGAACTGCATAATGGTCAACTTCAAATAATTTTAGCTTTTTGTCAGTAAAATGTTTTAATTTAAATGCTTATGCTCGCCAAGGCTGCATTTATTTAAATATATATAAATATAAAATAAAAAAAACAGTAATATTGTGAAATATAATTACTATTTAAAATAATTTATCTATTTTAAAATATTTAGAAATGTAATTTATTCTGACGAAAAACTGAATTTTCAGCATCATTACTCCAGTCTTCAGTCACATGACCCATCAGAAATCATTCTAATATGCTGATTTGATGCCCAAGAAACATTTTAAGAAACAAATATAAGGCAGTTGTGCTGCTTAATACTTTTGTGGAAACTGTCATGTTGTTTTTTTAGGAATCTTTCATGAACAGAAAGTTCAAAAGAATAGCCCATTTGAAACAGAAATCTTTGTAACATTATAAATGTCTTTACTGAATAAATGCATCAATTTCTGACCCCAAACTTTTTTTAAATAGTCTACATTGTATATTGTAATTTTCAAGGCCTCAAGTTCAAATGCTATTGATGAAATACTAGTAATGTCATCAAAAAGCACTTGAGATTCCTGCGGTTTCACGAGCATTTGTTTACTCATTTCTTACAAAGCTCTGCATAGCGCCGGAGGTGGTGTGTGGGGCCATTTATAATAATCAGCAAAACAGCTTTATTAGCCCTCTGTCAGCTTATCCCCGCGGGAGGTGAACACTTGCCGCCAATCTCTGCGTCTCCCCAAGAATCTGTTTTCCAGCAAAACGCTCATATGCCGCCCAATTGTGTGCACACCTATCCCTGTACTAATTCTCCCTGATCCTCTCAGTGTTAAAAAATATAAGTCAGGGAACTGCAGACGATGCTGTAAGCGGGTGGTGAGCACAAACTGTCAGATTAACCAGTCTGAGCACATGATCATCCACAACATAGTCAGGGGGGCAGGCGCCCAATTAATGCAACCTGATATAGTCTCTGATTAACACCATGAGAATGATTTCAATGAGTTGCACTTGAAAGGCACATGCACATCCTGCTTGGTTTCAATTGACTTTGTCTTTTCCATGGAAAAGGAAGCTGAGCGTTTAGGTGTCTTACCCTCTGTCTTAAAGTGCTAACAGGGGATTACTGAGGTAAATGTTGAAAGAGGTTTAGCCACTGTGCTTAGGCAGTGCTCTTAATTACATTTCAGCAGAGTGTCCTGCATGCAGTTGGACGAGAGATCATAGTGATGTCAGGTAAGGGGGGGCTTAAGCAGGCAGATAAAGCCAAGCTAATAGAGATAACATGAATCTGTAATTAAAGGTCTTTTTTAGTTAAGACAAGGAGCTGGCACTTGTTGGCCAAGGCACCTGCGGCAGGACTGAAGACTTGAGAGTCCTGAGAGTTGTTGACTTTTTTCCTTTCTTGTTGCAGCTTCAGGTCTCGTGCTCATTTTGGAATCATTTTTCTTGTTTGGAATGAATGTAGGCCTATTGATATTTACTTCCTGACTGAGAGCCTGGACAGATTCCCATTTCTCTGGCCGACATTCAGAGGTGAGTGTCTCATCTGTTTTTATGGCTGCACTTTTCCTTCCACTAATTGGTGTTTTTCTAGTTTATGTTGAATATGTTTAACCTGTAATGTGGTTAATGATTTAGACTGTATTTTAAACATGTTCATTTCACTGTAGATTCATTGCAATGGTGTGCAACAGTTTCATCAGACAGTATAGAATTTTAACAGTATAGAACAGTGATGTCATCCGTATATGATGACATCACTTTTTCCGGCAGAGCTATGCTTTAGTTGAATTGAACTAATTCCATAATTGAACTTTAAATCAACACTGAACTGATTTCAGTTGAATAATGACACTGTTGTTCACTGAATCATTTTCCTGTTTATCACTGTAAAGCTGCTTTGAAACAATCTGTAATGTCTAAATAAGGGTGACTTGACTTTGACTAGAACATGCAATTAATTTTAACCATCTTTACATGTTAATATCACATTTAACTCTTTGTTATGTGCCAAACAAGTGATCAAGGATAAGGTAGTTGGTAGTGTTCGCATCATTGTCACTTCTGTTCATAACTGTCTTAGACTTGGATGTGTACCATTGCAATTATTGTGTGCCCTTATACCGTACAAAGGAAGTACATTAGACCAGATGATTATTATCTCTACTATGACCTACCCAAATGCAAGGCTTGATTTAAGTCGTCAGCAGTTTTCCCTTAATTTATTCCTTTAATGAGATTAGTCCCAAGCAAATCCATCCAGTTCAAGTCTGTGACTTGGATATGTCATCACTTGTCACATGTCTGACAAGTGATGGAATAATATATTTATTATTCCAAAAGGGGGTATTCCATATTTATATGAAGAACATTGTTTGTTCAAAAAATCACGTGTTTATCAACATCCATATTGTCTCATATGTCTATGAATTTTCAAATGATATGAATTCATATTTTTGGGTAATATTTGAAAATATATTGAATAGATACATTTTGATAAAAGTTATATGAATTTTGCAAAAGTATTTTAAAAATGATATACATAGAAATATGCTCATAGATAATAAATATAATAAATATAATTCCTCAATAAACAGACTCTTCTGTGTATCAGGCAGGGTTTTAACACTGTTGACGGAGTGTCTGCCTGCACCACATTTAACACATAAACCGATTGTATCCCAGATTTATCCCCAAGGTGTTTTTAGGACATCTCTGGGGCTAATGGAGGCTAATAGGCTTAGCACTTAGGGTGTATTGTCCGGTATGCTTACAGGCAAGGTTTGCTGAGGGTAAAACTCTAAACTCTGGGATTACCTCCAACACATCCCTTTAAAATGCTGTATAGTCAGGACTTAGCTAATAGGATCTGAGGGGGGAATAGGGGCCCTGAAGGTAGTTTGGGGGTTGGCTGACAGCAGGACCGCACGCATGCAGGTCAGCAGATGTAGCACGCAGGCAGACTGCTGGACTAACAGGAGGATTACTGGACTCAGATTAGAACGGCTCCTCATAACGGGTAATACGCACAGAGGCAGTCCCAAGCAGAGTACAGGAGAATTATCCAGTAATAAAGATCTGCATAGATTTAATTATCTAGACCATGCTATTATTCCAGTAATGAAATTCTTGCAGGTTGAGAAATAGACACTCAATTAGCCTACATGACAATCATCATAATATAATATAATATAATATAATATAATATAATATAATATAATATAATATAATATAATATAATATAATATAATATAATATAATATAATATAATATAATATAATATAATATAGTATAATATAATATGACTACACAGGAAATAACAGGGGCAAATCCCAACTACTTGTTACACTAAACAAGCTAATCATTTTAACAGGAAATCTCAAACTACTGAGGAACAAAGGTGTTGACAAATTTGTTACAGCCGATCATTTCCCCCTCTCTATCTGGTTTCTCTATATCAGACTGAAAGGAGCGACGTTACAGAAATATACACCTGAGTGAGTGAAGATAAAGCAAAGGAGAGGTGAACAGGTAGGCTACTTTATTATATCACGTCTATATAGCATTGATGCTTGAGTTCTTGGGATGTTTTTATTGAATCTTAAATGGGTGTTGTTCACTGGCCTGTCTAGAAAAGAAAATCTTTAGTAGGACTGTTAGATAATAAAAGACACTATTGCTTTATGAGCCCTCAAGAGCCGATGTAATCGGTGGTGTGTGAATTCTATACCATTTGTCTCTGTGTTATTTCAGTAGTGACTGTGAATAGGTAGACCACATCATGCCAAGTACATAATGTTCCATACGTTCCAGACAGTCTGATGAGCATTAAAGGGATAGTTCACCCAAAAATTTAAATTTGTCATAATTTACTCACCCTCATGTTGTTCCAAATGTGTATGAGTTTATTTCTTCTGTTGAACACTAAAGAAGATATTTTAAACTAAAGAATGTTGGTAACCAGACAGTTGATGGTAGCCATTGATACTAAAGTCAACTGATTGGTTACCAACATTCTTCAAAATATCTTCTTTTGTGTTCAGCAGAAAAAGGAACTCATACAGGTTTGGAACAACATGAGGGTGAGTAAATGATGACAAAATTGTAATTTTTGGGTGAATTATCCCTTTAAACGGATAGGCCATTCAAAAATGAAAATTCAGTCATCATTTACTCACCCTCATGTTGTTCCAAACCTGTATGTGTTTTTGAGTTGAACACAAAAAAATATATTTTGAATTATGTTGATAACCAAAAGGTTTAATTTCCCATTGGCGTCCTTTTTTTTTTTTTTTTGTCCCTATAATGCAGTGTTTTTTTTTATTAGAGAATTTTTTTAATTAGAGAATGTGTATGTTTGTTACACTCAAGGAGGAGGCAGTGTCATGACCCCACGTGACCAGCTAAGGAAGATATCAGCGCTAGGAGAGCAAGGTGCCCTAGATGAGAAACACTGGTACCGATTGGTCAATGGAATGTCTGCTGGAGGTGAGAGTTCCTCACGGAAGCGGCACTGTCCATGAAACACTTTAAATAAAGCTGATCACAATCTTGAAGAACTATGGCTAAAAAAGAGCTAATACTATTATTGACACCTTCATCTGTTACTCTGCATGTGAAACAGAGTTGCGCCAAAGGCAGGAGCTCATGATGAGGAACCAGATGGCCATGGCTCCACAGATCTTGGCTCAGGGGCAGCAGAGACTGCAGGGTGTTCCTGCGCAGTTTGATCCCCGCTTCATGGAAAGGTCAGTTAGAATGAACTCTAAAACTAGCAAGACTAGTTCTAAAAGAGAATCTCTAATAATGAGATTTAATTGTTAATGGACAATTTCAGTTATTACTGTACTCATGACATGTAATGGAACCATGCCAATAAGAAACCTGTGTGTAAACCTCACTCCCTTGTCCTCAAGAGGCGTTCTAGCGACAGACGCTAAAGGCTGTGGTCTTTAGCGTTCTTGTTAGAGCGCCTGCTTCCCACGCCGGAGGCCCTGGTTTGAATCCCGCTAGGAGAGGGTCGAGTAGGACCGGGTACACTCACTTTAAGCTGAGTACAATAATCATGTGTGCAATGTAAAGTACAATAATAGTACTGCAGATACATAATATTTACATTGAAAATAAAATGGCAGTTAGTGCAAAGTAAATCGATAAAAATGCTGTGAATAAACTATGCAGTTTCAACTAGACTAGAAATTTACATACTTAAATCGAAATTTAAATTGTATTTGTCACACACACACAGTATAACAGAAGGACGTGCTAATAGAAATAACAGGAAAAAATAAAACATGCATAAGAATAAAATTGAACAGTAATAGAATTACAACACAATGTAAATAGAAATATATTAGATAGCAGAATAAAGTCAAACAAGTTGTAAGCTGGACTTTATTGATGAATGAATCCTCTTTATCTGCAGAGAACTGGTGCAGCCCACTGAGATGCTGTCAGCTGATGGTAGACAAATACACATGGGTGCCCACCTCGGCCCACCTCTGCCCCAAAACTCCAATGTTATTCAAGGCAGGGGATTCCCTGGCACAGGTTGGAATGGAATTATATACAGGTTAATTTTTAGAGAATAGGGGAAGCTCATTGAGCAAACTAATTTTATTAAAAAAAAAAAAAATTTCCAGGTTACAGCTTCCTTCCAACTGAAACCATGGAGACAGTTGCCAGACGACAAGAGTTAATTCACAAACAGAACATAGCCAGGTAAATTTCTGTGTATTTGCCTTCTATGTGAACAATATTATATTGGAGTAAAAAATATGAGTACAATACAAAGCTATTAATAAATGTAATCAATACGTTTTTTCTTTTTCTTTTTTTTTAACGAGGATGGAAATGAATGCTATCCTGCATCAAAAAGAGTTGGAGAACGCCCACCAAAAGGGTCTTATTGGTATGGAGAATCCCATGATGTACCAGGGCATCCACCCCAATCCAATGGCCTTCAGGGGCCGCCAGCGACTCCCGGATGGTCATGATGTATTCGTCCACCGCGCCACACTTGAAGACCTGCATGCTAACAGTCTCCTCATGTCAAGCCCTTACCCACAGATCAGCACACTGCAAAGGGAGCGAGGACGCAGGACAGGCAGGAGGGCCACCAATCATAAGAGCTCCGACAGCAACATCACTCTCCCTAAAGGCCAATCAGAAGAGAAGAACATCGAGCAAAGTCCAGGAGGTGCATCGGGGGAGGAGAAGGAAGTTGAAGGGAAAGGTGAAATGAGCAGTGAGGCCACCAGCAACAAACCACACCAAACCAAAGTAGAAACAGAGCTGTCTTCAGCCAGCAGTAGGAAAAGTTTTAAGGAAGGAGAGCCAGGGATTCGCAAGGCATGTATTAGTGGACAGGAGGGTTGTGCAGAAGTCAACAACTGCAATGCCGGCACCATTGACAAAGATATTTCCAACCCTTGCTCGGCTTTCCAAGAAAAGTTTCTGTACCCATCTGCCGCCGGCCCTCTCACAGGGATGCCCTACATGCTGCCCGTGCCAGGAAATGGACTTCTACCTCTTGGTGTGTTTGTTAGTTACTTTTTTTAAATGCAGTGGTTGTGTTTAGCATTATTTTAGTATTGTTTATATACTATTAGAATATTTATTCATATTTTAAATGAGCTTATATTTTTATATTTTAATTAAAAAAAATTAATTTTAGATGAAGTTTTAATTTTGTTACGTGCTTTTGTTTTTGTTTGTTTGTTTTTTTAAATATTTCTTTATTTAGTTTTAGTTTTAGTCAGTTTAGTACTTCAACTTTTAAACTAACTATTTATTTCAGTTAGATGCAAAGGCAACATTTCTAACTTTCGGGTTTTTTAATAAGGTTAAGTTTGTTTTTTCGTCAAATATTTATATTTTATTTTTAGCTATATTTCAATTTTCAAAAGAAAACATCTTTAATAGTTCTAGTTAACAATACAACACAGGTGTTTGGCTGTTTGTTAGGCATGTTTTGTGAGCCAATATACATTTCTCTTAAGAAAAATTAAGATGATGATGACATATTACAGTCAATGCTACCTATTCATTTGTTTTGTTTTCATTTAGGTCCTCCTAATATGTTTCTTAATGGAGAAGAGATGTCTGATATTCGCAAATGGACAGTTGATGACGTCTTCAACTTTATCAGTGAAATACCAAGCTGTGCTGAATATGCACAGGTAATAGAAATGTAAAATGACAAAATGTCATTATAATTTTAAAGCTGTTTTTCAATCTTATTCTTTTGTGTGTCATCCACTTCAGACATTCAAAGACCACATGATTGATGGAGAGACTTTACCTCTTCTTACAGAGGAGCACCTCCTGGATACACTTGGGCTAAAGCTTGGGCCGGCACTCAAGATACGATCACAGGTATAATGTTTTAAAAGGACAAGATTCTCTACATATAATGTCCCAATAAGCAGGTTAATCATTCAAATTAAATTAAGTTAATATGAAAGTATTAAGAAAATTAAATATATTTTAAAGTCAAACAGAAGTTGCAATAATCTTTTCTTTCCTGTTGTGACGTATATCTGAGTAAAAAGGCTTCTTAAAATAATTTAGGGCGGGACTTGATTTTGTTGTCGTTTGCTATTGGTAGATCTCATGTGAGTGACAGGTTGTCCCGCCCTCATGCCAGTGAACGTCATCAGAGAAGAGAAGAGATGTTGCCGCAAGAGGGAGTTATTTTGATGAAAGATTATGAGGTCGCACACATTTAAAAAAAAAACAAAAAAAACATGTGCACGGATAAAATCATTTCTTATAAACACTGCAATATTCCATAAAAAAAAGAATTGTCAATTTTGGTTTTATGGTGAATTTAAGGGTTCTTTCTATCCTCCAATAGGTCCTTGATCTTCAAAAGGTTAAAGGGATAATTCACCCAAAAAATGAAAATTCTGTCATCATTGACTCACCATCAAGTTGTTGTAAACCTCTATGAGTTTCTTTCTTCTGCTGAACACAAAGGACGATATTTTGAAGAACAATTGGAACCAAACAGTTGTGGGGCACCATTGACTGAAACTTACTCACTGAAACCATCACACATAGTAGAAAAAAAAAAATACTATGGAAATCAATGGTGCCCCACAACTGTTTGGGTCCAATCGTTCTTCAAAATATCATCCTTTGTGTTCAGCAGAAGAAAGAAACTCATAGAGGTTTGCAACAACTCGAGGGTGAGTAAATGATGACAGAATTTTCATTTTGGGTGGAGTATCCCTTTAAAGATTTTTAAAGAATTTCCTCTAACTCTTTTTACTCATTAGGTTATTCTACTCTCTTTTTAGTTGTCCCGACGGATGGGTAGCATGTTCTACAACATGATGAACTTGCCCCTGCCTGTCTCTGGCCTGCAGCCTCCACCTGAGAAAAGTGGGGACAGATCATCAGACATCAGCTCCCCCCTCAACTGCCACAGCATGGAGCTTCTCAGCAGCCCCAGAGACACAGAGGCTCTTAAATCTACGGAGCCTGTTAGTGAAGCAGATAATCTTGCTTCACCGACCCAGATGAGTGAGACCACCTGAAAGAGCACAACTATTGGACTAAACTGACATTTCTATAGTGAATCACAAATATATTATGATCTGTGTTATGCAATAGGTTCAAAATGTCCTCCAACAGACTTAGTAGTCTGTTGAATGCTGGATTTTTCTACTTATATGTATATTTTGTAATAAATTAGCAAATCAATTAAAAACATTTTGTCCTTATTATTTTTTATTGTAAAATTGTATTTTGTTTTTTACTTCAAACTTGAATTATCCTCTATTGTCATGTGTTGTTTGCTGTGAAGTAAAAAAAAAAAAAAAAAAAATCCTTTGGTCTTTGTTTGGTAAATTGGTATATTAAATTAAAAAAAAGATTTAAATACAGCATTTTCCACACACACAAAAAATATCACAAAATCTTCACTATTCTTTTTCAACAAATGAAAATACATTATTTATGATATGACTGAATAGTCTAAATCCTTTGTAATTTTTGTAATTTTCTAGAAATAAACATCAAATCCAATGTAGCTTTAATTAAGCTGTTACTAGCTTGTACCAAATGTTGTTTTGTAGTTAGTATGTGTATATATATATATATATGTATATATATATGTGTGTGTGTGTGTGAAATGTTTTCTTACAATAGGTCTAGCTTATCACAGCTGAATGGTTGAAAGATTTATTACTGCAGTCAACACAACAATATTTGCAAAAACTGAAGAAAATGGTGGTTATTTATTGTCTTTCTTTAACCCGTCTGTGTTGTGGGTTCCAAAGTTTTGTGTTATTTTAGGATAATTGATATAGGCTACTATATATTTTTTGGTAATATTTTGAAATAATTTTTATTTTGTATATTTTCCATTTTCTTTAAGTTTAGTTAAAGTTTTAGTAATTTTGTTGTTTTTTCCCCATTTTTATTCGTTTTTTTTAAATATGTCTATAGTTTTTATAATTTTTTATTTTTGTTTTATTTATCATTAAATTCTAGCTTCTAGCTTAAATAAAACAAGTTTTATATATATATATATATATATATATATACACTCCTGGACAAAATCTTAAGACCGGGGGAAACATTACCAGTATTCGCATTTCGCGCTGGTGGATCGTTAACGGGTTGTAAGTACTGCTTCAAAATGCCAAAAGAACAAACAGGAGACAAAAAATATAGAGTAGGCAATTTATTGAAAACTGCAATTAAACCAAAACAGGCTGTTCATCAGCTGATCAAAAGTTTAAGACCATAGCTTTAAAAAGGTCAAATCTACACAAAAATATGACTTTCATGTCATTGTCCTTCAGGCAGTCACACTGTCATGATCTCCTGATGGCAAACGTAAAAAGGCTTTCTCTCTTTGAACGTGGCAGGATTGTTGACCTGCACAAGCAAGGCCTTTTGCAACGCGCCATCGCTGCCGAGGTTGGACGCAGTAAGACAGTAATTTTACATTTCTTAAAATATCCTGAGAGTTATGGGACAAAGAAGTCAAGTGCTAGACCCCAAAAAATGTCATCTGCACTGAGCCTTGTTCACGGTTGTCCGTGAAGACACAGGTCGATCCTCAACCCAAATTAACGCCCTTACTGATGCTGACTGCAGCCCAATAACCATAAGACGTCATCTGTGAGAGAAGGGCTTAAAGAACCAAAAATGTCTTCAAAGGCCACATCTCCTCACACGCCACAAACTTGCCCATATGGAATTTGCAAGGGAGCACCAAACATGGGACATTGAAAGGTGGAAGAAAGTTTTATTTTCTGATGAGAAAAAAATTTAACCTGGACAGTCCTGATGGCTTCCAACGTTACTGGCAACGTAACGATCCCACCGTAGATGTTTTCTACACGGCACAGTGGAGGAGGCTCCATCATGATCTGGGGTGCTTTATCCTTCAATGGGAAAATGGAGCTTCAGGTTGTGCAGGGGCGTCAAACGGCGGCTGGCTATGGACATGTTGCAGTGGGCATCCCTCTTGACTGAGGGCCCTCATCTGTGCAGTAATGACTGGGTCTTTCAACAGGACAACACTGCAGTTCACAACGCCTGCCTGACGAAGGACTTCTTCCAGGAGAATAACGTCGCTCTTTTGGACCGTGTTCCCCGGATCTAAATCCCATTGAGAACCTTTGGGGATGGATGGCAAGGGAAGTTTACAAAAACGGACGTCCTTTTTTTGACACTTTTAGTTCTGTTGTAGGTTTTTTTGGGGCTATGGTCTTAAACTTTTGATCAGCTGATGAACAGCCTGTTTGAGATTATACAATTTTCAATAAATTGCCTTCTCTCTATTTTTTGTCTCTTGCTCCTGTTTCTTCTTTTGACATTTTGAAGCAGTACTTACAACCCGGTAACGATCCACCAGCGTGAAATGCAAATACTGGTAATGTTTCCCCCTGTCTTAAGATTTCGTTCAGGAGTGTATATATATATATATATATATATATATATATATATATTTTTTTTTTTTTTTTTTTTTTTAACAACAGTCATTTTATTTAAGGTTTACAACCTTTAAGGTAACAACCCTGATTCAAATGTTTCTTTTAAGGTGTCAGGAACATTAATGGATGTGTTAATTTTATGATAGATAATACTTTATCATAGTTCTTACAACAAAATTGTGGGATTCGTCAGGGTTGAAATTATTACACAATAGCAACTGACTGACAGACAAACTAAACGCACCCGTTTCAGTGTTGTTACGTTTTGGATATTTTCATCAAGCAGTTTGCTTCGTACAATCAGTTGCATTAACAGCATTAAAAAGGACTTCAATGCACTGACGCACTTTGTGTGCCTCACCTGCACTTCAGATGGCAGTATTCACTCATTCAGGTTTTAATCTGCAAAGCGAAGAAGTGACGGATCACGGGCTATTCGAAATATCGCGAGATCTCCCTCCCCACTCTGTTCGTGACCACGTCAAGGGAACCCAGAAGTTAGAAATCATGGCGGAGCGCAGGAGACATAAGAAGCGAATTCAGGTACCAAATTCACGTAATATTTGCTATCAGATGCTCAATCTTAGATGGCCTCTGCTTGGTATTGTGTCATTTCTCGAGATAGTGTTTTATTCGACATAACATACAGTTGTGTATTGATCCGTTATTTTTGCAGTGCTTTCAAATATGGGAGGTGGATTATTTATCAGTGTTGGCGCAATTTTTGCGCCTTTCTTCGGTAATGCAATGTATCTCTTGGCAGGTATCTAAACACTTTTACATTTACTCGATGTATTTGATGTGAGCATGACCTGATTTGAATGTCTCTCCCCTGTGAAGAGTATGTGTCTGGTGCACAGCTGATGGAGTTGGCCATCTTAGCTCGGTACAGACTGCTCGGTTTGCAGGCTGTTCTTATTATTAACCAGCTGCTGTCTCAGATGCTTCACGAATTTGACCAAATTTCGCCTATAATACATAACTTCTCAACGATTGCACAATCGCCACATTTGTACCTATTTGCAGTGTAATTAAACAGACATTTCAACCCAAAATAAAATTTCCTTACAATCATTTACTTACCCTCATGTTGTTTCAATCTCATTTGACTTTCTTTCTGCGTCGAATACACAAGGACTTGTGTGGCTCAGTCACCTTTTACTGCATTAAAAGTGAACTCTGACTGTCAGTCCATAACATTTTACCTAATATCTCATTTTCCATGAGAAAACGCATACAGATTTCAAACAAGTGAGAAAATGCTGACAGGATTTACATTTACATTACATCCCTGTAAGGCTATTCTCCATCATTAAAATGTGTGTAGCTTCCTCAATATTTCAAACAAATGCAAGTGCAGTGCTACATTATGTGGATATGCCACTGACTTCAAACCTAGTGTGCTACCTACTTAGACATCATTTTTGGTCGTAGTCAGAATGGGTTTATCATCCCTAAAAACCTAAAAAACATTGTTAGGTTGGCAACTCATTTGGCTTTGAGATAGCCACTGTGTGTTCCTGTAATAAATATGGTGTTATGTAAAAGAACACTGGAGTTTTGGGAAATGACGTGTTGTCTTGATAAGAGAGTCACTCTTCGTGATCTTTCCAGCGTGTTGGTTTTTGCTCTTATGCAACAGGTTGAAATCCACTGTCATTGCTGGTCAGTTTTCTTTCAGTGCATAAACATGTCATTTATTCCTGTGATACAAAGCTGAATTCTCAGTAGCAATTACTCTAGTCTTCAGTGTCACATGCGCCTTCAGAAATCATTCTAATATGCTGATTTTCTGCTCAAGAAACCCTTCTTAATATTTTTATTTGAAAACAGTTGTGCTGTTTATTATTTTGGTTGAAAACATGATACTTTTTTTCAGGATTCTTTAACGAATGGAAAGTTTAAAAAACAGCATTCCTTTTGAAAGGAAATATTTTGTAACATTATAAATCTCTTTACTGTAATTTTTGATCAATTTAATGTGTCCTTGCTGAATAAAAGTGCCACGTAAAGGCCAAGTAAATTAAAATTACATTTCCACTCTGAGTGATAGATGAGAAATCCTGCATTACATTTTCTTAATAACATCAACAGGAAACCTAAATCAAATCTTTAGATTTTAAAGTGTCAAGCTAAAACAAATAAAGTACTGAATGTGTTTCACTGTAAAGATGTCAATTAGATCAAGTGTTACCGGGAAGTTCACCCAAAAATGAAAAGTCTGTCATGTTTTATTTACTCATGTCTTTCCAAACCTGTAAGGTTTTCTTTTTTCTGTGGAACACAAAAGAAGATATGTTTAAAAATGTCTGTTTTTTTTTTGTCCGTGCAATGAAAGTCAATTGCAACCATGACATATTCAAAACATAATCTTGTGTTCCGCAGAAGAAAGTAAGTCGTACAGGTTTAGGGCGAAATGAGTTATCATCCCTTCAAGCCGTTTATCTGAAGTCATCAGCCTGTCTAATGTAGTACAGCTTCCACTGAGAGACCACCAAACCGTAATGATAACAAGACCAGGGCCTGCTGTAGTGTGCAAGACAAGTTATTATTTACCAAGGTGACTGAGACAATATAATCTATAAACATTTGGCTGACTTCCTTCACAAAATCCAAAGGAATATCAGGCAACATGCCAGTATCTCCCAGGCAAAAATACCATGTTTATATGGTCTTCATTGAATGTTTCTCTGAGCCGTTCAGGAGACATTCTGACCAAATAGAGTATGACTGAAGGATTGTGGAGTCTATACTAAAACCTCAGGCTTATGAGTGTATGCCTGGTAGTCATTCATTACTCAAATGAATGATGTCTCTATAGAGGCTAGATTTGTAAGGGTTTTTTGTATAGTGTGGTCACACAAGTAATGATTTTTAGCTTAATAAAGCAGGTCAGTGAGGACTCGGTGTGTCTGAATGGAGACGGTGATTACAGAGCACAGCACATCAGTATGTGGTGAGCTGAGGCTTTTAATTAGTTCACACTCATTGAGTCCTTGATCGACGAGGGTCCTGCTGCAAGTGCAGGAGGTTCATTTCAAAGCTTTTTCAGTGGGAGTTAGCTGGATTCCTGCACTGCTGTTATCCTAAATTCTCTTGATATCATTTTTCACTGGAATTAAGGGCTGTATGTGGCCAAAGGAACAAACCAGCTTTTTGTCATTTCTGTTACCCCTATGAGTCTTGGTTTAGTATCTAGGTCCACTCCCATTGTGTCTCAAGGCTCATTGGTCCAGAATTATGCTCTACATATAATAGGGATGCATATATTACAACTCATTTTTTTTTAAAGTTTTGGCAGGTATTACAATTCTATGCTATTTTGTCTGAGGTAATTCAAAATTAAAACACATCGTTTCAGAAGGTAATATCAGCATTACAACAGTTTGCTAAAGATAACATTTAACCGTGTTAGTCAATTATTAGTGTAAAATATGCATGTTCATTTTTCCTACAATTATACACTACCATTCAATAGTTTGGGGTTTGTAAGATTTCTTTAAAAATGTTTTTATGCTTCCCAAGGCTGCATTTATTTGATCAAAATAAAGTGAAAATATTGCGAAATATTATTACGATTTATGATAACCTTTTTCTATTTTAAAATGTAATTTATTCCTGTGATGGCAAAGCTGAATTTTCAGCATCATTAGAGTCTTTTTTCAGTGTCACATGATCCTTCAGAAATCATTCTAATAGGCTGATTTGCTGCTCAAAAAAACATTTTTCTTATCAATGTTGTTAATAGTTTAAAAAAAAATTAAACCGTGATGCATTTCTTTCAGGATTATTTCATGAATAGAACATTTATTTTAAAAAAAAGCATTATTTATTTTAAATAGAAATCTTTTTATTATTTATTTAATCTATTAAATATAAATAAAATGTTTAAATAAAAGTATCAATATCTTTAAAAGAAATTATACTGAACATAAACTTTTGAGCGGTATCATGTATCCAATATTGACTGATGGTACTATTAATAAATAAAAAAAAATTTATAAATAAAAAACCAATATGGTACTGAATTTACCTATATATTGTACATTCTGACTGAATAGCATTATATTTAATGTGATCTGATTGCACATTCAGATGGAAGCTGGTTTAGATCTTCAGGAGACCAGTTTTATCATCAAGCCTTTACAATCTTTATCACTTTTTTCAGGAGGTCAGTGAACCTACCAAGGAGGAGAAGGCGGTGGCCAAGTACCTGCGCTTTAACTGCCCCACCAAATCCACCAACATGATGGGACATCGAGTGGATTACTTTGTCGGTCAGTGCACTCATTCATGTCTTGTTTTCTTCTGTGCCCTTCAGCATAGGGTTTATATCAAGGCTTCTTTTAAAGACCCCCTTTGGCAAAAATCAAGTTTTTAATGTTGTTTATATGTCTATATGTTGTGTTTAATATTCCTTAAGCCTCATGTGGTGTTCAAAACCCTATAACACTTGTGGTGTTCCCGATCAAAAATGACCGGCCTATAAAAAATAGCTTAAGTCACTCATTATACCATATTTTCACCCAATCTTGGATTCAATCTTTTTGGCAACTTGTTCTCTTTCAATTAGGACTGGTTTTATATTTCTGTTTGCATCTGATTAATCGTGGGCCTCATTCATCTGAGAGTAGGCATGGTCAAAAATGGTCACAATGGCCGACCATTGAAAGTGAATGGGAGAGACTGAAAATAACAGAACAATTTAGTTTTCAGGAGCATGTTCATTATTTTCATGTACACATATGAGCATGTGTGCTTGCAAACATCGAGCCCTTGGACCTGTGCATGTATCGATACATTTATACACACGCTACCCAGACACACACATGTTAAAACACACAAACTTTTTTAAATATTACACACATTCTTTTCCACAGAGAGAAATTTGATCCTACCCTAACCTGCAGCTAATATACATTTATCCATCTGACATTACCACACACACACACACACAGGCCGTGATCAGATTTTTGACTCATAAACTAGTGAGGAGGAGGAAATTCAGGATGCATCTTGCAGTGAAGATATTTCTGAAGAGGAAGGCACCACTGAATCGGCTACGGAGCTTGAAACAACTGATGAGGAGCAGTCTTCCAGTGATGAGGGCCCAGCTGAGGTGACCGTTTCATTCTGGTCAAAAGATGGAACTTTGTCCTGGCCTTCATCCCCACCTATGAGGCAAGGCAGGTTTTCTTCTGAAGGCCTTCCTCTTCAGAAACATCTTCACTGCAAGATGCATCCTGCATTTCCTCCTCCTCACTAGTTTCTGAGTCAAAAATCGGATGAATAACATCATGTGCAGAGCTGTTTTGCCATTGTGCTGCCACAAATGAATGACAAGCAAGGTGCTGTGAGGCATTTTATATATGCCTGTGCTATCACATGATGTATATTTGTAAATATTGTCTAGTTCTGTGTGAGAACCTCACAGTTCCAAAACAAAATGTCATAATATTTTGTCTGGAAGCTGTGATGAAACAAGACCATGAAAGAAAGATTCTTTTGAAGCCGGGTCACTGCAGTCACGGCCTGTGTGTGTGTGTGTGTGTGTGTGTGTGTGTGTGTGTGTGTGTGTGTGTGTGTGTGTGTGTGTGTGTGTGTGTGTGTGTGTGTGTGTGTGTGTGTGTGTGTGTGTGTGTGTGTGTGTGTGTGTGTGTGTGTGTGTGGTAATGTCAGATGGATAAATGTATATTAGATGCAGGTTAGGTTATCAAATTTCTCTCTGTGGAAAAGAATGTGTGTAATACTCAAAAAAGTTTGTGTGTTTTAACGTGTGTGTGTCTGGGTAGCGTGTGTATAAATGTATCGATACATGCACAGGTCCAAGGGCTCAATGTTTGCAAGCACACATGCTCATATGTGTACATGAAAATAATGAACATGCTCCTGAAAACTAAATTGTTCTGTTATTTTCAGTCTCTCCCATTCACTTTCAATGGTCGGCCATTGTGACCATTTTTGACCATGCCTACTCTCAGATAAATGAGGCCCACGATTAATCAGATGCAAACAGAAATATAAAACCAGTCCTAATTGAAAGAGAACAAGTTGACAAAAAGATTGAATCCAAGATTGGGTGAAAATATGGTATAATGAATGATTTATAAGCTATTTTTTATAGGCCGGTCATTTTTGACCGGGAACACCACAAGTGTGACTATGTGCCATATTTTTTACAAAACAAAAGTTTTAAAACACAATTCCTGGTGAAACATTAGAGTAGACTAGTGTGATTAACAGTAGCCATTTTTTTTTTCATATTTTTTTTTCATATTTCCAAATTTACTCATAAATTATTTGTTTTTTACTCAAAAAATTAGATGCCCACTCTCAGATAAATGAGGCCCACGATTAATCAGATGCAAACAGAAATATAAAACCAGTCCTAATTGAAAGAGAACAAGTTGACAAAAAGATTGAATCCAAGATTGGGTGAAAATATGGTATAATGAATGATTTATAAGCTATTTTTTATAGGCTGGTCATTTGACCGGGAACACCACAAGTGTGACTGTGCCATATTTTTTACAAAACAAAAGTTTCAAAACAAAATTCCTGGTGAAACATTAGAGTAGACTAGTGTGATCAACCGTAGCCATTTTTTTCATATTTTTTTTTCTTCATATTTCCAAATTTACTCATAAATTATTTGTTTTTTACTCAAAAAATGAGATGCCTACTCTCAGACAAATGAGGCCCACGATTAATCAGATTCAAACAGAAATATAAAACCAGTCCTAATTGAAAGAGAACAAGTTGACAAAAAGATTGAATCCAAGATTGGGTGAAAATATGGTATAATGAGTGACTTATAAGCTATTTTTTATAGGCCGGTCATTTTTGACCGGGAACACCACAAGTGTAACAAGGTAACAATACTCCCACAAAAAAATAAGAACATTTTCAAAAAAAACACTGAGATTTAGTTATACCGTTTGGGAACAAAGTCACTAAGTTTCAGTCCAAAGCGATAACATTAACTAGTATTTTCGGGAAAAAGAAAATCTTCTCCGGGTCAAATTGACCCGAACACCACATGAGGGTTAAGGCAAACCATGTGGAAAGTCAACACCATTGTTGAGTATTTTCTCTTTAAAACTGCAGTGATCTAAAGACAGTCTAAAAAAAAACAGTTTGAAATCGCAGGTGTTTCTTACGTCCTTGTAACCAATCACATCAGCGTGTGGGTGGGCTTTAGCATATCATTAACTATGACCGCTTTGAAGCAGTGGAGTCTCAAGAGAAGCCAGGTTATCCCGGTATATTTTTCTGTTGATATTAAAATTCATGGATCCACGTATACTAATTCTAAATGACGCAAGGGTGTAGAGTTACATTCAAGCTATTTAAAGGCATGAAGAATTAGTTTTCACAGGAAAAAAACTTGTAAATATGTCAATTTGGGGATTAAAGATGAGCTTTAAGGGACACAATTATTGACTACAGGAGGACTTTATTTATTTATTGCTTCAGATGCTGTCATTAAACCAAATGTTTGTTTTCTGCTCATCAGCCTCTAAAGCAGTTGAATGTCTGCTGGATTCAAAGTGGGCCAAAGCAAAGAAGGGTGAGGAAGCTTTGTTCACAACCAGAGAGTCAGTGGTGGACTACTGCAACAGGTAAACCTAGTCTTTTTCTCTCATTTTATGACGCCAAATGGGATTTTTCAGTAGTATTTGATATTACAAAGCTGTTTATCGAAATAATTAGTTGAGATATCGAAGCTAAAGAAAAAAGAATGAAGTCTATTTTAAGTCTAAGTCTAAAAGAGTAATTTTGTGAAATAATCAGAGTATGCAGAGTTGTCATTAGAAACATTTATTATTATTATCAATGTTGAAAACAGTGTTGTGGGAAGACAGTTTTAAAATAGAAATCTTTAAATTACAAATGTCTTGTAAAATTCTTCAATTCCATAATTTTGTGTACATCTCATTTGATTTGATTTTATATGACCTCCATTAGTCTGCTCCCATTATATCTGTATTTGAGAATGTGTATTTTGAAAAATCTGTATCAGTCAACCACTAATTTGAACTATTCTTACTATTCACAGGCTCCTAAAGAAGCAGTTTTTCCACAGAGCCCTGAAAGTGATGAAGAAGAAGCCAGAGAAAGATGTAAAGAAAGAGAAGGAAAAAGAGAAAGAAAAGGAAAAAGAGAAGGCTAAAAGTGACAGCGGCAAGGAAGAGGAAAAAAAGAGCAAAAAAGACAAAGACAAAAAGAAGGATTCTGAGGCTGTAGACACAAAGAAGGAAAAAAATGTATGACTAGAACATCTGAGAGGATAATACATGTGCTGTTACATGTGCATATCATGAATCTTTATTTTGATGGCTTATTTCTGTGTGTTTAGGATGACAGTCCAGGATCTCCAAAGAAGAAGAAGGATGTAAAAAAGAAGTTCAAGCTGGAACCTCATGAGGACCAACTGTTCTTGGATGGCAGTGAGGTCAGGATGAGTAGCATTCAGAAAATCATATCTAACAGATGCTTGTAAATATAAATCTCACTTGGCGATGAATTTCCATTTGCAGTTAACAATTTAATTGTCGTCTTTATGCTCGTCATTCCTAACAACGCCCTTCCGCCGTGACTTATTCACCATACAGCACAGCCTGTCACACCTTATTGCTGTTATAAAACGGTTACTACACAATACAAATATTAAAGCCAAAAATATGTATCAATGCTACTTTCATGAAGTAAAATCCCTAAATGCCTTCCTTCCGCTGGAAAAAATAGTCTCTGACCGTAAATAGTAACAGAATGTTCCTAGGTGTAATATGCGTCATCTCATGGAGCTCAAATAAAAACAGACTTGGAACCGTTCTCATAGTCTGTCATTTATTATATTATTTCCTCACAAATACTTCTTATACTTTAATAATGACTATTATTTTTCATTTAAATATTATCGTTCAATAAATAGTATTTTATTTTATATAAATAATATGCCGTAATTTGTATTGAAAAAGGGTCCGTTAGTGATTGGGTTTTTTGACTTCAGTGAAAGTAACATTGTTGTGCCATTAGATGGCAGCAAAGACTGTCTTTATGAGCGAGTCAGTAGCAAAGACTTTTATATTGAAAGGGCCTAGAACAGGGTCGGGCAAACTACGGCCCACGGGCCACGTTAGGCTGTAATCCGGCCCGTCGAGTATTTAAAAAATTGTCTTAAACAGGGTACCCGCGGGTCTTAAAAGCCTTGAAAAAGTCTTGAATTTGATCATCTCAAATTAAGGCCTTAAAAGCCTTGAATTTAGTATACAAAGTCTTGGATTTCGTTACAAAGGTCTTATATTTTTTTTCCCCCTTTGCTAGGATTAAGTTCATACCGTAACAAAATTAACTGTTACTAATGTAGGCTAATTCAAAATGTATGCAGCGTTGAGTGCACCTCGCGCTCCACGTCATAGCAGAAAAAGCGATAGCGTGCGCACCGTTACTATGGTTACTAGGCAAGTGAGGTACAGAACAAGATAGCCTAGTTGAATCCGCTGTGGCCACAAATGACAGAATTTAAACCCCAAATAAGAGCTTTTCTGTTAAAAGAGCATGTTTTCTACCCGGTCTTTTCAATAGTATCTGGCAACCATGCGCGCGCGTTCTCTCTACACTGCTGAAGAAGCGCGGATGATCTGAAAACACAGACAAGCTGGAGTTCAACGATCTTTATTTAAGATTTTCTACTTAAATTCAAGTGTCATTCAGTCGGTCTGTGTTCTGTCACGAGCCGCTTGCGCTGTTTGTGCGACTAAATCTGCGATCAAAATGCAGGCTGATATCCACCAGTGTTCATACGAGCAAGAATGCAATGTTTCCCGAATATCCACACGATTTCAAGCGTGACATTGATTTTATACAACAGTAAAAAAGAAAAGAAAAAAGGGTAACATTAAGTGATGTACTACATTTAAAACAGCATTGTCAGGCTTGCTCTGTTTTGCAACGAAATATGTGGCTTTGAACGAATCGTGAGATTCAATGAATGAATGACTCAGACTCACTCATAAAGATAGTGAGTTACTGCCACCTACTGGCGATTTTAATGTTTTTTAACATTGCAAATTTAATGAACATTGTTTTATTTAAAGGATTATTATTATTATTATTTTTTAAGGTATTACAAAGGAAAAAAATGAAATGGAAAAATGTATTAAAGGGGGCAAATCTTGTCCCTTAATAGAAAAGGTGTGACTGCACCAGGGGGTACGGCACTCTAAAACATTGGAGAACCAAATTATGTAGAACTGCACAAGTGCTACTGCTAAAGAGTGCAATGTCAATAATTTATCATAAGCTTAATTGAATTGGCCTAGAGAGAATAATTATTATGACATTTTCTGTCTAAAGACTACATATAAAATAACTACCTGTAAAGTAACTGCAGTTTGACTAAAAGTTGACAAAAAATACAAAGACTTTTCGTCAACTACAACTATAAAAAACAGGATGACTCAAATGTGATTAAGACCAATAAGCATTTTCGTAAATCAAAAATGGCTGCCAAAATTAACACTGGCCTACATACACGTGCGCGCTACAATGCTGTTGCGTATGTATTAAATATGACTGATAATTTAAGTAAAATGTTTTATTTAATTCAAGTAGCCTTGCACATAATTAGTTTCTAGGGTTTAAAATGTATACAGATTTGACATTTTCCCCTCATACTTCTGTCGGAATGGGTACGAAGTTGGCATTGAATTTCATTTGAAATGGTATTAAAAAGGTCTTAAAAAGCCTTGAATTTAAGTTGGAGGATCCTGGGGGTACCCTGTTAAAGATCGCATTCATTTAGCCTTTTTCCTGCAATACTTTGCGTTATATATATACATTTGTGATTGAGCGTCTAGGCTACACAAATTCCCGTTCGCTTCAGTCTTGTTATAATCAGTTTCCGCGCGTTCTTCATCTTCAATCCGCAGCGGCGCCGAGCACGTCAGAAACAGAGGACAGGGTTGTGTGTGTGTGTGTTCATCTGAGCCTCATTGGTCTGTCATTGCTCGTCAATGTCAGAATATTTGAGATGACCAATCAAATCAAAGTAGGCGGGCTTTATGTTCACAGAAGCTTCAGAGCGCGAATTTTAGCAGAGCGACTCGACGCTTCAGTTTACGGTCAAGTGCGAGATAAGATGTAAGTAGCTAAACTAAACATTTCATATTTGACCGTTTTTTAGGTCATAAATGTTAAACGAATCACAAAAATAATCAGGCAAACTAATAAACTTTTGTCTAATAAACCATTTTGAACTGAAAATAGGCCTATGTAACGTGACTCATGTAATGTAGCCTAATAATTAGTTTACTGTCATTGTGAGGGGACAAGACACATTAACAAAGCCGTTTCATCATGTTAGGCACAAAATTAATAATGAATGTGTACATATTGAGAATTAATATAATACAGTTTGTAGCCTTCAGTAAATTAAAAAAGCCCAGCTTTAGGAGGGGAAGAGACAGGGCAAGGTGAGGAGACTGAGAGAAAAAGAAAGGGAGATGGAGATGGAGATGAGAGAGCAGGTATTGACAAATAACCTACTGCCCGCTAACATGGTTTTAAAGCTATATCTAATCCTCTTTTTTTTTGCTTTCAAACGTCTTGAAATGCACATATCAGAGAAATCAAAAATTTGAACCCCCTAACGACCTCAAATTTAGGACCTATTTGATTATAGATCAATCATGAATGTGTAGCCTATATTGTGAATGAATTTAATAAAGTTATTTACCTAGCTTTCCTAGTCGCTTTCAGTAAATTAACGCGTCTGAGAAAATGATTCATAGGCTAAAAATCAACCTATCAGTTCACCCATATGTTTACTTTCTTCACTGACAGACAAAAATGAAAAGCCTATATCAGTCGAAGCTCAGCTTTAGGAGGGGAAGAGACAGGGCAAGCAAGATAAAAGCATAGAGAAAAAGAATGTGATGCTGATAAGGAGAGAAAAATAATCAGCTGCCCACTGGTTTTAAAGCTGTTGTTATCCAATTTTTTTGCCCTTCAAAACAACTTAAAATGCACATACTGTATGTAGATATGTGGAAATCAAAATTTTCTTGGAGGAAACCTTCCAAACCCCCTAACTAGCCTACCTAACATTCATGACCTCAGGGATTATAAAACCCTGCCATATGCATGTTAATGAAACTAGTTATAGTGAGCATTAGTGTTACTTTTTTTTTTTTAAATCATACCTTCATTGGGGGCCGAGCCCCCCTAAAATGAAAATCCTACAATCGCCCCTGTCTATAGCATAAAAAATGAATTGTCAGAACGTTGTCTCTCAGTTTTTGAATGTCGCGCAGACGTTGCCACAACGTAAATGTGTTTGCTGCTACTGGGCCGGCCCTCTGTCAAATTTTAAAACCCAGTGTGGCCCTTGAGCCAAAAAGTTTGCCCACCCCTGGCCTAGAACAAGGTTGTAAACAGGGACGTTGTTTTTACTTTAAACAACACCTTATAAGATACAATCGACAAATGCATCGACTAGTCATGGGGAATCCCCTTAACCGTTAAAGGGAAAAAGACAAAGATATAGCTTTCCTCAGCAGTCATTGCAACTTATTTTTTGTTATGGAATCGGATATAAGCTTGACAATGAATGGTACATCAGATGCAGGTAATACACTCTCTTGGTTGATCTCTCTCATAATACTTTTACTTATAATACACAATACACTCATAATACAAAATACATGTAATTATAATTTCAGCATTGGAGCATGACGGTTCACGTCTCTCCAAATTGTTCCTCAAACCACTCATCTACTGTCATGCCGCCTATGAAATGAAAATTTACTTTAAACATTTTAGCCTTCTAATTCTTAAGTTTTTCTTTATAAGAACACACATATGTTTATGTTACGCAGTGATACACAGAACCGTTGGGTGAAGAGCTCATAGTCGTGCCTTATCGTGAATAAAACAGCTATTGACCAATCAGAATCGAGGACTGGAGCTACTAACAGTTATAGAAATAACGCTTACAGTGTAAGAAAAATACACCTTACCTTATATAGTAAGATTTTTATATAGTAACTATTTTATGGAATAAAACAATAAAATGTTGCACAGGGCTAGTATACAGTATTATTTTGGTATAATTTATATACTATTATAGATTATAGATTTTATTTAAAAAAAATTATTAGCTTTTTTATATTTTCAGCTTTCATTTTAATTCTAGTTTTAGTAATTTTGTAATGTGCCCCTTTCATTTTTATTCATTTTAAATTTTAGCTTTAACAATATCCACACTAGTTGCATAATTATTTTATTTAATTATTTACCTTAATATTTAATTATAACATTGTTAATATATTAGTCTTAATATTATTACTGTTGTTATTATTTAAAATAATAGAATTAAATTTACACACTGATGTTTTTGGAACCCAACCAACCTGAATATTATATTATATTATAGACTTGTATAACATAATATTATAATATTCAGGCTGGCTGGGTATTGTTACTGTGTGGTGATAAAATGCAAATATACTGTTATAGATTCTTCATGTCTTTTTTTCTAATAAAAAAGTTCAAACATTTGTCTTCCCTACAGGTTTATTTTTGGATTTACGATCCAGTCCACTTTAAAACCTTTGCCATGGGATTGATTCTAGGTAGGATCTCTTCTTCTACAGTGTCTGTCGTTTGACTGGCTCCAGTCCTGATTCAGAGCGTTGTGTGTGTTTGCAGTCATTGCCGTCATCGCAGCCACTCTGTTCCCTCTGTGGCCTGCTGAGATGAGAGTTGGTGTGTATTACCTGAGCGTGGCAGCAGGATGCTTCGTCGCCAGCATACTACTACTGGCTGTTGGTACGACCTCAAGAATTTACATTCTAGTTGCAATTTGATATCGTCTACCATTTTCAAGTGACATGTTTTCTCATCCTCTTATTCCTTCTTTTCCCTTTCGTTCAGCTCGTTGCATCTTGTTCCTGATCATCTGGGTGGTGACCGGCGGCCGCCATCACTTCTGGTTCCTACCAAACTTGACAGCCGACGTGGGCTTTATCGACTCTTTCCGGCCCCTCTATACGCATGAGTACAAGGGTCCCCGCTCCAGCTCCAAGAAATCCAGCAGCGAGAAATCTGACAAGGGCTCGGATTCCGGCAAAGCACAGAAATCAGATAGCGAGGATAAATCAGACAGCGAGAAGAAAGACGGCGAGGAGGAAGAGGATGAAGACGAGAATAAGGAAATGGAGGCGAGCGAGGAAGCGGGCGCAGAGCGTCAGTCAGACACAGACAGTGACAGGCGAGAGGACGAGGGCTCGCAACACAGCAACGGCAACGACTTTGAAATGATCACCAGAGAAGAGCTGGAGCAGCACACGGAAGAAGAGGAGGAGGAGGAGGATGAGGAAGAAGTTGATGAAGAAGAGCAAAGTAAGACAAAGCCCTTGACTGTTCAGACATAAACGTTTTCCTCACACCGCACACATACTCCCATGCTCCATGTGGACCTGCTGACGTACTTCTGTCAAGTTCAGAAGATGTTTCCCATTTCTGTTCAGGCTGAGATCTTCCTCTGTGAAAACAGACAGGCTTAAAGGATAAACGAGAGCAGGAAACGGCTACGATGACAATGGAAATATCGCAAAGGCTGTTTGGTTTCTCTGAAAATGCTTTCCCCACTGTGGATGCAACAATGCAAGTCTCCCCGAGCCCCATGTTTCTCTGGTTCCTTGATTTTTCTCTTTTTTCATGTTAACTTTATCTAATGTCAAGCGTTTTGTTGTATAAACATGTTGGTAGTGTTAAGAAGGACTGAATCGGTCAACTTTCACAGTGTTTTTTTTTTTTTTTTAACCCACATATGAATGTTCGCTCTCCAATATAGTCTGTAAGATTCAAATCTGAAGTTGAAGGGTTTTTTTTTTGTTCTTTCCTTTTAGATACATTGGATAATTTGGACGGACCAACATATTTTGTCTTAGATATCTATCGTTTCAGTCATAAATGTCAATGGCACTTGACCTGTGACATTTTTTTTGAGGAACTCTGGGAGATCTTGCTAGGTTTGGGACGAGAGCTGTATTTTTGGGCACTTGACACGGTCTGCCACATACATTTCTGCTATTATGTTTTGTGACCCTAACGAGAAATAGTTCTTGTTAATGAAAACGGAGGGGCTAATAAATTGGAGCAGTATCCTTAACTGTGGTAGGCAGTTATTTAAAACCAAACTCCATTTAAGTCTTATGAGGTCGACTGCATTCAAAAGGGGAAACTACATCCACATTCGTGCCAAATGATGCGGGATATTGATGCTTTTTTCATGTACATTTAAATTATGACCAACTTACAGATAAGGAGTTCAAACATGTCATGCCGTAGCTCGTATATGTCCTCTAGAGCCAATCACATCTGTGCATCATTAGCCTCTGGTTCTCCCGTCTGGTGTTCAAAGTCCGAGGTTGACAAATCGTACTTCCCCGAGCGGCTTGTGGTCCAAAATAGTTTGTTAGTGCGCATTTTAACAGGGCCAAGGTCCAATGCTATCTTTCCGTAGGGTTGCTAACTAATTGGCTAGAGTATTATTTTACATTAGCTGTTTCTTTGACTCATACTGAGGATGATATTTAAGAGATAAAATACAAATGTATCATTTATATATGGATTCTATAAATCTACCAGAGATGTTCATGCCAGCAGGTCAGGTTCAGCATGAACTGTACTCTATTTTATAATGTCAGACACACAGGTTTTTCATTTCACTGCATTTTGTACTACCGTAATACTAAAACCACCAATTGTTTTCAATGCTGAAGACTTCAGAAAGAATGCTTCAAACATCTGAGTTCTAGTGGTTGTCAAAAGCGCACAAGACAAGATGCAGAAAAGGTGTTTTTCCTATATTAAAAAACTAAAAACCATTGTTAAACGCATCTCTCAAAATTCATGGTCATCCCAAGTTGACGAGGAGCAGGGAAAGCCCTCGTGCCTGAGAGAACGTCTCTCTCTTTCTCTTCATCAAATGTATGAATCTTTAACCACATCTGTAAGTAGATGATCTTGTCAGTCAAACCCCCAGAGGGGTCACTTCGTGTTCCTGTAGAAATACTATGTATGTTTTCAATATTCTGTCATTGACTTTGAAGACCTGGATAGACTGGCCATGACACAACGTGTAACTTAAGACATGTTTTTACTTTAAATGGAACTTCAGTCACCTTTTTTCTGTCCCGGTGTCTTTATTAGAGAGAAAGATGTCGATATCCCAGATGTTTTTTTTGTTTAGTTTTTTTTTATAATTTGCAGGAAGTTTCATTTTGTCGTTAGGTGACTGTCATATAAAATTGTAGTTATATCATTTATAAAAAAATTAAATCTCATCTTTTTTATGTGGTCAGCATCTTCAACTAACTAATTGTCCGTATTTGGATCAATGTTGAGGATTGTCTTTTTGCAGTAAATGGAGAATAATTGAAGTGTCTGTCAAAAACTATCTGTATCCTTTCATTGCAATAAAAATATAGAACACAACCAGTTTGCATTGTTGGAAACTGTCACAAGCATTTCAGTTTTTATATTTCACACAAGCTATTATAGTTTTTAATATACATATGTAATGCTTTCTATTCCATTCCTCTGCAAACATTACAGATTGTTTCACTTAAGAAGCTTGATAGTCAAAAACAATTACATTTATTCCGTTATACATAAGATTAAATACAAGATTGTACCACTGCAAGATTGAATGGTAAAATATAAATAGTCCCTAAAATATAAGGGTATATTTAAAATAATAAAATAAAACCAAACATCCAAGATAATTAAGTTTTTATTGAAATATTACAAACGAGACAAATACATGTCATAGTATCTCTTATTTACATCAAAATGTAAACAGCTTACATTCAGCTATACCAGTTCTTATGCAACAATGTGATTTGACCAAGATAAAGGATCAGTAATACATAGTGAGAAATGCAAAACAAAGTGCATTTGTGAAAATGAACAAAATCACAGCTTATGTAGTGTAAAAATTAGGAAATGCAGCTCTGAAAATGCAGTATATGTAGCACCATCCTGTGTCGCCACAGGGAGGCTACAATGTTCTTTCTCAAGATCTACTTGGGTTCGACACAGACGGCCAACCTCAATGTAACCTGACAAAGAGGAAAACAAGAACACTCGATTCATATTCAGAAAGGCTCTGCACAAGTTAGTCAATCTGAATGGAAATCGAACAATAGCTAAAGTGAGCTACAAGTTAAGCCTGCCAAACCACATTTAATCTTAGTAGTTGAATGTACAATGCATTGCAAACACAATAACTGACAAAGAATGGCGTCCTATGCAATTTAATACCACACAAGTGGAACTACTGTTGTAGCAAACCACATAGAAAGCCCAACTCATGTGACGTCTGTGGTAAATTTAGTCAACAGCTACGTTGTAACGAGTTATGCACTGTAAAAACACCTCAAAATCAAAGTTTTATGCTCATGGACAAATTACATTTCCAGCTATAATGTGCATTTCCAGTTTTCCTAAACAACTATTTAAACATGGATGAATCTACAGGGAAAAAATTAACTAAGCATTTTTGTCAATAGTAAATGTCAGTAAATGGTATTAAAAAAACTGTTCTATGGCAAATTGGATCAGTTACTCTTCAGCATGTTGTTAATTATGAGAAGCCGTCAGCTACAAAAACAGAATGTAGGAAACTGTCTGCATAATGACGTTTAGCAATCATGCATCATGAGTTTATGCTCTTAAACAAACAAACTTTTAGATACCGATAAATTACGAGTAATCCAGGCTGACCTCTAACTAGTTAATGTGTTATTTTACAGGTAGAACATAAGCACTTGTGAGCTATAATGAAATGAATCTATGAATATGGACATGAACAATGTTATGTAAATATAAAGAACCCTCCTTTTCAGTGAGTCAGGATGGAAATCTGAATTTATTTGGAATGTCAACAGACTGTGAGAAACTTGGTTTTTATGGTGGTTTCAGTTCTCCGTTTCGGAAGAGTCGCTGGCATCTGTTAAACGTGTTTGCTTCTTGCGGACGTTCCAGTGAAGACACTGAGCCAAACTGTCAAACCAGTCGTACACCAGATCGTGACAACAGATAGAAGGAACCGGAAAGCAAGAGGTCGTGATCTTAATGCTATGGGGGAAAACAAAACTCATGATTACCAGATACGATTGTTGTGAGAGTTCAAGTGAATGAAGCCAATGAATTCTTAATGAAAAAAGGGGCAAACTGCATTTGAACTGTACAAAGGCTGAGTGCTGATCCCTACTGATACTGTTAATGCTCATTTCCATAACTTTAACACAGCTGTTGTTGTATTGCTGCATTATGAGGAAGGTAAAAGTTGTTTGCTTATGGGATTGTGTAAACGAGTGTCACCTGTCCCCGTGCTGGATTTCCTGCCGCTTTCTGCCATCAAATGAGACCCAGGCTGTGTTACGAGCATCAGGTGATAGCGTTATCTGCAGAAAAAATACAGTTTGTTGTAAGATAACACCGTTCTTCTGAAGCTCTCATATGAGATGAATAAACAAAAATCGCAAGTTTGCTTAGTAAATGTAGTCATTCAAATGGCTAAACCTTGGCAAAATGACACTCTCACCATGAGCTCCACGCCAGCGGGCACCACTATGGGTCTGAAAGAGAGGGAGTGAGGGCAGATGGGGGTCACCATAATGGCAGGGACATTGGGATGGATCATGGAAGCTCCCGCTGCAGCAGCGTAGGCCGTGCTGCCCGTGGGGGTGGACACTATTACACCTGCATAGAAACAAAGCCACATATTTACATCTATTTACATCTACAGCTGGACTCTCTTGCCAAAGCAAACGAAAAGACCATAATGTACTGTGACCTGCTTGAGCTAGAAGAAAAAACTAATCAAACACTAAGATGAAGTGCGTCTATGTTAAGCTACACACCATGGGGTCTGTAAGATTTTTTTTATGTCTCTTATGCTCATCAGGGCTGCATTTATCTGATCACAAATATAGTAAACAGCAATATTGTGAAATATTACTATTATAATATATATAATTTTTAAAGCCCCCCTGTAATTTTATTCCTCAAAACTAATCTTTGATCACCAAATTGACATTTAAAAAAAAAATCCTGTGAATTTTTTTTTTATTCACGTCTTTAAATCGTTTGAATGTCATTTTACAGCTTTGCTTCATTTAGTGTAGGTGGACCCATGAATATGCTAATTAGCCCCGCCTCCATTCAAACCAGCTCAGAGATCCACTTGGTCAACTTTACTGAGGTAAACGCTACACGATGGTATCTTTACAACATCGGACACATAACGGTAATTAATATGATTAGACTTTTGCTAGACTACGTTATCAAACAGCTAATAATGTGTTGCTAATGTTACACAAAACGATTTCTTCATATCGACAGAAGAAATATACAGAAGAGATAACCTGGCTGCTCCTGAGACTCCCCTGCTTGTAAGAAACACCGGCGATTTCAAACTGTGTTTTTGAGACTGTCTTTTTTTCACTGCAGTTTTAAAGAGAAAATACTCAGCAATGCTATATTGACACATTGACAAAACTGCATTTTCACCACGTGGTCTTTAATTTATTTTAAAACGTAATTTATTCCTGTGATGGCAAAGCTACATTTTCAGCTTTCATTACTCCAGTCTTCAGTGTCACATGATCCTTCATAAATTATGCTGATTTGCAATGTTGAATGTTTGCAATTATCAATGTTGAAAACTACTGCGGTGCCTAACATTTACATGGAAACAGTGATACAGATTATTTGATGAATAGAAAGTTCAAAATAACTTTTGATCAATTCAACACAACTTTGTTGAATAAAAGTATTAATTTCTTGAGATATATTAAAACTGATCGGGCCAGTAAATCTGTGCTCACCGTCTCCCTGTACAGATGTGATGAGACGTCCATCCAGGTAAAGGTCAACATTGGACAAGTAGGATGAGGGTCCTCTGTCCACCACCACCTCATTCAGCACCTTCATACACACATAATATTCATATCACAGATGGTAAATGGATGAATTACACACAAAAGCATTTAACAAGCAGGTGTATTTCTGCACAAATCACATGCCACTCTGGTTAAAAATATCCATCTCAGACATAAAAGAAAAGGTTGTCAATGACATCATGTTATTGCTATGGCAACTGGACATACAGACCTATCACAGCTGTTATTTTCAAATAACTCATATGTCTGTCACCATGGAAAAATGTCTCTAAACAGTCTTGAAGGACAGAAAAAAAATACATTTTTCATATACCACTTATTTTACCATCAAGTGTAGAATTAGACTGGCCTAAACAATCGTTTAAGCTTCTTTGGCCTAAAAAACTCCTTTTTCCCCTAAGATTATATTCAAAGAGTGCCCTTACATGGCAGACATTCATGTTTTTTTCTTGTGCAACAAATTTCAAGATCTGCTTTGAAGACATTTTACTGGTCTTCTTCATGTCTCCTCAACCCTTATAACAATTTATAGTTACAACTATAACTAATGTATACGAGTGCTGCATTCTAAAAAATATGTAAATTATTTTATGGCTTACTAATAAATTGTATATTCATTGTGAGCAGGTACATGCATTTATATGTATATGTTTATAAATACGCATATGTTTGTAGTAGTGCTGTCAAACGATTAAAATATTTAATCGCGATTAATCACATTAATGTCATAGTTAACTCGCAATTAATCACAATTAATCACACATTTTTATCTATTCTAAATGTCTCTTGATTTCTTTTTGTCCCATTATTTTTTCTCATTTTAATGCTCTTATCAACATGGAAAAGTGGATCGGCTTGCTTTGTGCAAATGTTTTTTATTGAAAACAACATTGGCATATACTGTGTTCAATTTCACACTAACATTCTCACTTGGAGCAAATAATCTCTCACACAATGTAACACTGTCCATCAATAAAAGGGTGAAAGAAATACTGACGAGGTCCTGATATTGACGAGGGGGCAGAGAATTCGCATCAGCTGTGTGTGTGTGTGTGCTTGGCCATCATCAAGTGGTATTTCAGACTGGACGTGCTGCGATGATGATAGCTCAGTTCACAACGACAAAACACACAGATCACTTTGGTCTTGACAATGGAACCATTTGGCAACTTTTTAAAAGTAAACTTTCCATTCAGAATCTTATTGGCATCCATTTCGGCGTCTCGTGGTCGTCAACCACTCAAAACGTAACGTTAACCTACTATTTGGCCGGCTCGCAATCCCAAACAAGTGTGTGCGGCGGAGTGCCTGTTGTTTTGTTTTCGGTCTAGCTAGATCCGCTTGCGCTTTGGTCGACGAAGCAACAAAACGTCCTTGCGCGGCGCAAGCCATTGAAATGAATGGGGTTCATAGCGCCGCGCATGCCGCGTCCTGTTGCAAAAGCATGTGAAAAAAACAACAAAGTTTACTAGGCCAAAAAGACCGTTAATCGCGCGATAAAAAAATGTACGCCGTTAAAATGGGTTTGCGTTAACGTCGTTAATAACGCGTTTAACTGACAGCCCTAATTTGTAGATATGCATCAATATGTACTCTTATCGTCCAAAACTAAAAGTTTGGGGTCAACAAGATTTTTACCAATTGGTTTTGAAAGTCTGTTATGTTCAATAAGGCTGCAAATAATTGATCAAAATACAGTAAAAATAGAATTATTGTAAAATATCATTACAATTTAAAATAGCCCGTTTCTAATTTAATATATTTTAAAATGTAATTTATTCCTTTGATGGCAAAGCTGAATTTTCAGCAGCCATTTATCTAGTCTTCAGTGTCACGTGATCCTTCAAAAATCATTCTAAGATGTTGATTGTGTGCTCGAGAAACATTATTATTATTCCCATTTTAAAACAGCTCTTCTAATTATTATTAATGTTAATAAGACGGCAGTAGTTGTGGGGTTGATTTATATTATTGTGAAAACTGTTATACATTTTTCTTTGCAGGATACTTGGAAGAATAGAAAGTTCAAAAGTACAGAATTTATTTGAAATATAAATCTTTTATAACATTATAATTGTCTTTACTGTCACTTTTGAATAATTTAATACATCCTTGCTAAATAAAAGTATTGATTTCCTTCAAAAGAAATCTTACTGACCCCAAACATTTGAACCGTTATGTTTATGTACACATTTATAAATATAAATGCACTCTTGTGTGTGTATATACATATATATATATATATATATATATATATATATATATATATATATATATAAAATCTATTATTTGGTACAAAGTACTAGGTAAAATGGCATGACATAAAAAAGGCCCGTAGCTTGTTTTATGGCATCTCCCTTTGTGTCATGTGACTGGTAGACACCATATCAGGGTTTTTCCTGCATAGACAATTATGAGGCGGCCGCCTCCGTCAAATTTCGTGCCGCCTCCGCCTCTCGACAAAACGACTCGGTTACTAACGTAACCTCGGTTCCATGAGAAGAGGGAACGAGTATTGCGTAAGTAGCTTACGCTATGGGAAAACTCCTTTTCTCGAGAAATATTGAAGTCTTTATGTAAAACGCATTGCAGCTGCACAGCATACAGCAATGAGCGAGGCAGCTCGGTCATTGGCTGTGCAGCAGCAACTGCACGAACCTATGACGGGGCGACTCTGAACCCGCTTCCAATGAGCGTGCTTCGCGCGTCAGAGCCCGCCAAGATGGGCGTGGAGCGCCCCGTCATCTGAGTTCTTTAGGTTCAATCGACTGAAGCAAACTAACCAAGCACAAGCACGGCAGCTTACGCAATACTCGTTCCCTCTTCTCAGGGAACCGAGGTTACGTTAGTAACCGAGTCGTTCCCTTTCGAGAGGTTCCTCTTATTGCGTAAGTAGCTTACGCTATGGGAACGCCATGTAAAACGCCGTGCGTGCTGACTTCGCTCTATTAAGCCGGAGGCAGATGCCTGAGCCTTTAAGCAAAGTAATTATCCAACGAGCCAGCCGAAGGCGGGCTTTACAAAGGACAACGTGGAACGGCCCAATGTGCGTCCAGAGAAACACACAAGCACATTTTTATGTACTGTCATGTATGAAAAATCCTCTACATCAGTCAGAGACGGATTCTATGAGGGAGGAGACAGCGCTCAGCATGTACACACCCCAGCCTATGCATAGTTAGACCGACAGTATGTTAGAGTGCAATGAGGGGACCTGTAGGTTATAAAACCTGATAAATGTTGACGGTGAGGCCCAGCCTGCTGCCGCACAAATATCTTGAATGGGTATCCCACTCGACCACGCCCACGAGGAGGCCATGCCTCTCGTAGAGTGAGCTCTGATGCCCAAGGGGCACTGAAGGCCCTTGGCTTCATAAGCCAGCGCTATAGCATCAACTATCCAGCGCGATATTCTCTGCTTTGAAACAGCGAGACCTTTGGTGCGGCCGCCAAAGCATACAAACAATTGCTCTGTCTGTCTGAACAGGGCAGAACGTTCCAAATATACTCTGAGCGCCCTGACCGGGCAGAGTAAATTAGCGTCGCTTTCGTCTGCTGGAGACGACAGCGCGGCCAAAGATATCACCTGTGCTCTGAAAGGTGTAGAGAGCACCTTCGGAATATACCCGTGTTTTGGCCTGAGGACAACCCTGCTGTCGTTAGGTCCAAATTCCAGGCAGGCAGCGCTTGACGACAGCGCGTGCAGGTCGCCCACTCTCTTGACCGAGGCGAGAGCCAGCAAGAGAGCAGTTTTGAGCGAGAGCTGTTTAAGGTGCACAGTTCGGAGGGGTTCGAACGGGGCACGCTTGAGTGCGTCCAGGACCGTGGCCAGGTCCCAGATCGGCACCGAGGGGGGGCGTAGGGGATTTATCCTCCTGGCGCCCCTCAGGAAACGAACGACTAGGTAGTTTTTCCCTAGTGTGCGTCCTTCCACAGGGTCGTGCGATGCTGCTATGGCAGCCACATATACTTTGAGCGTGGAGGGGGTGCGGCCTGCCTCCAACAGCTCTTGTAAGAAAACGAGCACACTCGGTACTTCGCATGACTCAGGGTTCAGGTTTCTGGATTTACACCAGTCACTGAACACCTTCCATTTCTGGGCATATAAGCGCCTCGTAGAGGGTGCTCGCGCCTCAGTGATGGTTCTTAAACCTCCACTGGGGAGGTTCCTGGGAACCCGTTGAGGGGCCACGCATGGAGGGCCCACAGATCGGGGCGGGGATGGAGGATCATCCCGTTGGCCTGCCTGAGGAGGTCTAGCCTCAGTGGAATCGGCCATGGGGCAGATTTCATCATCTGCATCAGTTCTGGAAACCACGTCTGGTTCTTCCAGAGTGGGGCTACCAGGAGCACTGCACATTTCTCCTCCCTGATCCGGCTGATGACCTGAGGTAGCATCGCGACCGGAGGGAAGGCATACAGCGGGCGGCTCGGCCAGACTTGGGCGAGCGCGTCTGTGCTCTTTGAAAAGAAGAGAGGGCAGTGCGCATTTTCCTTGGAGGCAAAGAGGTCGACCTCTGCTCTGCCAAAGGTTTGCCATAACCACTGAATCGTCAGGGGGTGGAGAGACCATTCTCCTGGGAGAACCTTGTCTCTGGACAGTATGTCCGCTCCCTGGTTCAGAGCACCTGGCACATGCGTTGCTCTCAGCGAGCGCAGGTTGCGCTGGGACCATAGGAGGAGCTCCCTGGCCATTTCTGCCATCGAGTGCAGGGAGCTCGATCTGAGTCCACCCTGACGATTTATATGCGAGACTACCGTCATGTTGTCCGTTCGGACTAGGACGTGCTCGTTCTTCAGGTACGGGAGCAGGGCTCTGAGAGCCAAAGCGACCGCTTTCAATTCCAGACAGTTTATATGTAGGCGCTTCTCCGGGTTTGACCACAAGCCGGAGACAGGCCTGCCCTCGTAAAGGGCCCCCCAGCCTATTTTGGAGGCATCTGTCGTGATCATTTTTCTCCTTGTGTTCACGCCCAAACTCACGCCGGACTGATACCAGTCGACAGCTTTCCAGGGCGTCAGGGC